CCAGTCCCACCCTGCCACACAATAAAATGAAAAGCAGTTTTCTCAGCAATGTCCAACCTCAGCCAAAGACTTCCCTTGTCCCTGCAACTGTGACTGACGGAAATGCTCCAAATGGCTAGTCATCTATTAAATGACTCAGAAGCATCTGAAACTCCATAATTATCATGAGGTAGTTAGTTTATTGTGCCAACCTGTGGGGTTAATTGAAGGGTAGAGGAATAAATGGCTCAGTGAACCTCGTCTTTCAAGTTCTTGGGTCTCTTGCTTTCTGATGATTGGACCAGAGTGCAGCTGCCCTAGCCAGTTCCCTGCCTCAGCTGGCAGGGCTCACTTCCTGCAAAACATCCCTCAGGAGAAGCCACATGGACCTACCCCGATGCAGCCCTGGGTGCTGGAGCAGCTGTGTGGAAACCCCTGCCAGTCTGAGATGCTTACAAGTTCACTGACTCGGCTTTCCTCCTGCAGTTGGCATCATTGCATATGTTTTGTGAGATGGAGGAGGACTTTGTGGATTGGTGTCGGACATATGGGTTAATGTTGGACGTGTGGGCTTGGGCAGCACTGGGTTGGGATGTTTTCTTGATTGCACTTAACCTTTATAGAAAACTCTCTCTTATACATATGAGTTTCTGTGGATTTGTTTCTCTAAAGTACCCAGACTAACACACATCACAATGCACTCTCTAGCCAGAAGGCCAGAGGCTTAGAAACGTTTCCTGTGCTGAAGAAGTTGGACCTGCGGGGGAGCCTGTTCCCTTAATGATTAGCTTCCAAGTTCCCCAGACACAGAAAAGCCAACCGCTTCCTTCTGCTGTCACCACCAGAGGGCTTCTTTGGGAAAGCACTGGTTCCTTACTTAGAAGACCACAGCACAGACTGCTAAACCCTCCCTTATGCGGTTATCAATGTAGGTACATTATTTCAGCAGTAAGATTGTTTTGGAGTTTGGATTCTTTGAATGTGGCACTTACACTGTACCACTCATTTGTCAGTCTGTTTTGCTGTGGAGACTTTCATATTACTGTGATGCTGGAAACGGTCCCTAGTATTTGAATGACCTATAGGGTCACTTAGAGTGGACAGATTTCAGTGGTGCTTGGTGCTTCCAGACTAAGACAGACTAGGAAAGAGGACCTCTGGGAAAAAACAACCAGGAATTTAAAACCATATAAGTAGTAGTAGCACACTGGTGGATGTAGTGCAAGATGAGCCCCTCGGGTTGGGAGACGTAAAATTCGGCTGGGGAAGAGCTGGCTCCTTAAAATAGATGTGACCTTAATGCCATGTATAGAGTAGGACATTCGGGATCTCTGTGTGTCGATGTGGCGCAGCACAAGATGGAAGGATACAGTTGCAAACCTCCATTAGTAATTGGAACGTGGAATGTATATAAGTACGAAGTACAATGTAGGAAAATCAGAAGTTATCCAAAGTGAAGTGAAACACATAAAGATGGATTCCCTGGGCATGAGCTGAAATGAGCCCGTGTTGATCCAGGTCGCTGATCTTTAAACTTTCATTTTATTTCTTACTGTCCTACACGCTCTTCTGCATTCCTGTTTCTTCCATTCCTTCAACTTCCCTGTCCCATAATTCGTTTGCTTTTAGAATCTTACCAGTGATTCTCAGCCCTGCCTTCCCGAGGCCTTTAAAGCATTAAATGCCCAATGCCTAAACCTGTACTAGAGCTTAAATTTCTAAGCACCAAGTTTTCAAAAGGCTATAGTGCACAGTAGAAGCCCTAAACCCATTTACAAGTCTCCACATATATTCAGCCTCTATCAGATTCCTTCTGACCACTCACTGGCAGAGTGAATAGCTTTGCCCTCAGATAAAATGCATTAGAGCGTGAATTACTGTAGCTCCCCAAGCCAGTCCAAAGAAAAGAGGCATAGAACCCTTGGGGACTTGCCTGCGTGTGGCCTTAATATAAATTTGGAGTGCCAGGGCCCCATGGTCACCAATCGCATCCTAACTGCCTTGGTCAGAGGCAGGGACCTGAACCAATATTGTAAGCTCTTCTGTCCAGCATCATGTAGGTGTCCCAATCATGGTCCCCGTTTCCACTTCTGCAGTCCCCACTGTACCTGATGTATTGATCTGCCACCAATGAGGCTTTTGAGATCATCTCCCTTGCCCTCTAGTGCCCTGTTAAATCTCTGTATCTCTGCAGAACCTTGTCCTCTCTCATCTGGATGGTGTGCCTTTGTCTTGTTTTTCTGTTTTTCTCCCTGCTTAGGACTTAATCAATGTTCATCTTAAATTATAGTTGAGATTTGGGGTCTCTTTTTACTCCAAAACAAATCTCACTCCAGGTCAACTGAGTTAGACTCAGGAGCCTGGGCTTTGTGGTGACAAAATGACGAAGCATTGTGGTGACAATGCTTTCAACACATCTGAGATTGAGAATGTGGAATTACACGAAAGAGGTTGCAGGATTTGACACTTTCTCCGCCCTTGGGCCCCTCTCCAGCCCCCCTCTTTGCCTGTCATCCAGGGTCACTATGAGTTTGTGTCGCCTCAATGACAGTGTTTGTCTTTGTGTGAGAGGGAGGGGTGGAGAGCAGGGGGGCGGGTCAGTGGGGTTGGCAACTGGCATGGGCCAACACTGACACCGCACGGGCCTCTTTGAGTAAGGCAAAACGAATCAGGGCTCCACTTCATATAGCACACCTGCTGGAGCAGTGGTTAAAACACTTGGCTATTAACAAAAAAACCAGAGGTTCAAACCCAACAAATGCTTCTAGGGAGAATGAGGTGGCAGTTTTCTTCCAGAATGGTTTACAGCCTTGCAAGCCGATAGAATTGCTCTACTCCGTCTGGAAGGTCACGATGAGTCAGCATTGACTCGGTGGCAGTGGGTGTGTTCTTGGGGGTTCCTTCCGAGCTCCAAGAACAGATGCAGAGCAGAGGAACAAAGCACTGCTAATAAGTTCCAAGCTTCCAAACCAGATGAACTTTTACAGCCTCCTCTTTGTAAAGCATCTTCTTTGAAGGCCACCCAAACACACAGAGAAGGGCCAGGCTGGAGAACAGGTAATAAGGAGGTAAGGAGGGCCATCCAAACCCAAACCAAACATGTTACCTTTCCCAACTCACAGTGATCCTGTATGTACCCGGCAGAAGTGAGCACTCCATCGGGTTTTCAGGAAAAGGTCCTGCTGAATAGGTTCCAACCACTAACCTCCCCATGTATAGTCCAGGGCAGCACAGTTTGTGTCATCCAGAAGAGGTGACACGTAAGGAGGCTCTCACTCGCAGAAGCCAATTCGGCACTTAGAAGATTCTGTCTCCTTAAATTGCTGCCCTATTGGTCTCTTTATCTCAGCCCAGTCCTGGCTCTGAGAGCTAAAATGTCACCATTGCTAAAGGAATGCTCAAAAGAGAGAATTGCTATCATCATCCAATTTAGGTGGATTTTTTAAATTAAATAATCATTTTATTAGGGGCTCATACAACTCATCACAATCTGTGCATACATCATTTGTGTCCTGCACATTAGTACATATGTTGACTTCATCATTCTCATAACACCCGCTTTCCACCCGAGCCCTTGGTGTTGGCTCATTTCCCCCCTCCCTCCCCGCTCCCCCTCCCCCTGAACCCTTGAGAATTTATAAATTATTATTATTTTATCATATCTTACCCCATCCAACTTACCCCATATCTCACCCACTTCTCCGCTGTCCATCCCCCAGGGAGGAGGTCATATGTAGACCTTGTCCTCTGTTCCCCCTTTCTTCCTCACCTTCCCTCCACCCTCCCGCCATTGCCACTCTCTCCACTGGTCCTGGGGGGTTCAACTGTCCTGGGTTCACTGTATTTCCAATTCCTATCTGTGCCAGTGCACCTCCTCTGGTCCAGCCAGATATGTAAGGTAGAATTGGGATCATGGTAGTGCGGGGGAGGAAGCATTCAAGAACTAAAGGAAAATTGCATATTTCATCGTTACTACACTGCACTTTGATTTGCTCCTCTCCTTCCCGCAGCCCTTCTGCAAGGGGATGTCCAGTTTCCCCCGGATGGGCCCTGGGTCTCCACTCTGCAGTCCCCCTCATTCACAATGTTCTGATTTTTGTGTGTGTGTGGTCTTTGATGCCTGGTACCTGACCCCTTCGCCACCTTGTCATCTTACAGGCTGGTGTTCTTCTTCCATGTGGACTTTGTTGTTTCTCAGTTAGATGGCCCCTGGTTTATCTTCCATCCTGTGGGACCCCAGATTCTGTGTCATTTGACAGCTTGGCACCATCAGCTTTAGATGAAGATTTAATAAGCAAAACTAATAGTTCCCTTGTCAAGCTTAGTGTCACATTTGCAGAATTTCCTAACGAAAAACATGGCCTGCTAGAAGCACGCATAAGCTACCTCAGATACCCAGTTTATAGAGGGTTACAGAAAACCAAACTCCAGACCCACTGCCACTGAGTCACTCTGACTCATAGCCACCCCCTGCGGTTGCTGAGACTATGGGAGTAGAAAGCCCCATCTTTCTCCTGCAGAAGGGCCTGTGGTTTCTACATGCCAACCGTGTGATCGCAGCCCCAGGCGTAACCACTCCACCCCCAGGGCTAGAGGGAGACGGTGTAATGGAAGAGCAAACCATTTCTACTCGTGTTAGGAGAGGATGACGGAAGTTTTTAGTTGAAAATCAAATGTTCTTCTCTTTTTTCTCAGCGAACCTTCCCTCAAATTCACTTCATCGAGTCAATTCAGACTCACAGCGACCCGACAGCACAGGGTAGAATTGCCCCTGCGCGTTTCCCAGAGTGTGACTCTTTACAGGAGTAGAAAGCCACACCTTTTCCTGCAGAGAAGATGGTTTTGAACTGCTGACCTTGAGGTTAGCAGCCCCACGCTTAACCCGCTATGCCACCAGGGCTCTGAATCTCCAGTCATCATCTATATTTTACAAAAGAAGGAGAAGTATGAATGCCGTGGAACACAAGCCCAGAGCCGGCACACAGTGTCATGCTTAATACATGCTATTTTTTTCTCTCCAGGAGACGAATGGGACTCAGGAACTACTTATCAACCAAGACCACGTCATCAGCAATTCCACATTATTTAAAGACAGAATCCAGCTAGGTCCAGACCACGGACTCCACCTTTCTCCAGTCCAAATTGACGATGATGACCGGAAGTTCTCCTGCCTCGCTGCAGTCGGGCCTGGCACAAGCTTCAGGAGCACTACCACGGTGAAAGTGTTTGGTAAAGTCCAAGTGCTCCACCCTCCCTGCCCTCACCTGCCCTGCTTTCCCCTTGAGAGGAGGTGTTCTGGTGCATAGCGAGGGAGCACACTCCAGCGAGGGGGTAGACGAGGGTAGCAAGTTCAACGCTCATGGCTCCATCCATAGAACAGATGCACACCGAAAGCCAGGCTGTTGCTGGGCGTGGTCAACAGGCTGTTGCTCACTCCTGGTGACTCCAGACGTCACAGCCTAGAACTGTTCGTCAGGTTTTTGTGGTTTCGTTGTGTTTCCCATTTTCTTTTTTCACCTGCAAGCTTTAGAGAAGCAAGTGCCGCTGGGTGGGTTCGACCCACCGACCTTTAGGTCAGCCCTGAAGGACTCCGATAAAACCATCGATTGGGCAATTGCCTGGTGACAGTTACCTTACTTAGGCTCTAACAGTTCTTCAGGAGGACTGGAACTCTGGTTCCCTGTGGTGGCCCAAGTCCAGTGGAGTGGTCTTGGTCGTCATGGGACAGGGGATGACTTGTGTTTGTGGTCAAAGCAGCAGAGAATGGGGACAGAGTGAGAGGGGATGGAAGTCCCTCTGCTGAAGTCCACTAGTCATTTCCTCCACCCCCACCTCCTCACACATTTCCATCCTCCTACCCACCCCCAATCCCTCATACACACTCTCCTCACACACCCCACTTGGGGCCAGCTGAGGTGAGAAATGGTCCAGCCCCTTTGTCTAGGGGAAAGGAACATCCAGCCCTGCTCTTGCCCGGCCCTCTTAGGAGAGTGAGGCTGGCCTGTCGCAGCCGCTGTGGTTTCAGTCAAAATACAGAGAATCTGCAGGATGCAAATGTGTGTGTGGGGGGGGCGGGGGTGAGTAAACAATCGATTTTGCTTGGTGGTGCAAGAAGAAAATCTTAATGAACGGAAGCCCCTGGCTTTGGATCTCTTCACAGCTTTATGATGAAGAACAGTGCTATTTGTAAATATATACATTTAATATATAGTATAAACCAAGAGCTCAAATAGAAAGAAAATGCTTTGAAAATGATGATGGCAACCTATGTACAAATGTGCTTGACACGATGGATGGACGGATGGATGGATGGATGGATGGATGGATGGATGGATGGATGGTGATACGAGCTGTAAGAGCCCCAATAAAAATTATTTTAAAATAAAAAATTAATATGTATATATAAACTTAAAGGAGAACAAAGAGCAGCAATGCAGATATGCACTTAATAGTTTTTGAAAAGACATCAACAAAGAGAAAATAACTTCACAAAGCCCAAGGGCATGAGGGCTAGATGTCCTCGGAGTGATGGAACCAGAAGCTACCTTGTTTTTACTTAGAATCATATTTTATTATTCTTAGAGTCACACAATGTAGTATTGTTCAAGGAAATAGGAATCCCATTGTTTGTCAGAATGGGAGACTACAGCAAACATGGACTTCCTTGAAGTCTTGCTTGTTCATAGCGACTGAGTGCTTTGGGTCCATCTAGATTGGCAATCCCCATTCAAAGCCAGACCACAGCCATTACAATCTCTGTGGAGTGACCTTCTACTCTGAAACACATGGGATCACTGTGGGTTGGAATTAACCAGTTAACAGGTTTACCAGATACTCGTGCTGCATGCCCGACACTTGGTTAGGTGCTCTGGAGTTGGCCCCCAAATGGAGTTGGTGGCTCCATGCACCATGTGATCCAGAAGGTTTCAATCAGTTGACTGCCAGTCTTCTTTTGAATCTGCTGTAGTCTGGGAACTCTGCTGAAAGCTATCCAGCATCACAGAGCCATGCAAGTCTCATGGACAGATGGGTGGTGGCTACTTTTGAAGTTCATTCACTGGGAACCAAACACAGGTCTCCTGCATATAAGGCAAGAATTATACCACTGAACCGTGATTGTCCTCATTGCATACACCCTAAACCCTACATATTTCTTCTTCCCCAACATTACCTCACTGCCCACCTCTGTATTCTTCTACAAAGCAGGGAGTCAGCTTCTTCTCCATCTCCTTTCTCATCTTCATTGGTGGGTCTCTTTGACTTCAATGGCAGTGTCAACTGCCCTTCACCAGACTGGTCCTTCTCACACCTGAACCCTCAACCTGATTGTCCTGTGCCTCAGGGAGAAGCTGCCTCTCCCTATTACCCCTGGAACTTTTAATAATGACCCTTTCTTTTGTATCCCTCATATTCTCAATGTTTTGCCTGTTAATAAGAGGACAAAAGAACCTTTAATCCCAATCGTGCTTTGTGGTTGCCTTGGCTTGATGTTCTCTGAAAGCATCGAGACAAAGATTTGAGTTCAAATAATGTATTTGAGAGTTATCCTGGGGAACAGCAGAAGAGGGGGAAGAAGAAAAATAGGAAAGGGAAGAAAGATTTTTTAAAATGTACATTATCAAGATAGTTACCCTTAGTTTATACTTCTTGCTTTATGCTCTTCATATAGACTTATACTGAGTATAAGTATATACTCAGTATATACTTAAACTTAATATAGACTCTTAGTTTATACCCCTGTCCCACTGGGGGATTCTGGGAGACAGTACAGAGTATATATCAGAGCTATCCTAATTAAAAAGGCAAGGAAGCTGGAGTGTTTATCCAACTACCCACTTGGTATTGCCATTAGTTTTCTTGGGCTTTCTTTTCTAATTGAGGGTTTAAGGTGCTTCTGTGACCTGTTCTCTGCGGAAAACCTTTGGGCAGAGAATCACAGGCAGAAAGAGAAGGAAGCCTTTGGTAGCTAGAGGCAAATGTAGGGAGGCTGTAACCATCGCTGACAACGTTGTTGGCTTTTACCAAACAACTTTATTAGGACCTCATCCAGATAACATACCATTCCCTAGTTCAATCACATTGGGCACTATGGTACAATTGCTACCACAATCAGTTTTAAAACCCATTTTCTTCCTTCTTGAACTCCTTGCTATCAGCTCCCCTTTATTCTCCCTCGCCCACTGTACCCCTCAGGAGCTCCTATTCTGATTGTTTCTACAGGTTCATTCATCCTGGGTTTCATATCTCAAAAACCAGAAAAACACATAACAAAGAAGGCTACCCACAATACCAAAATACATCATAGATAAACCCCAATAAGAAGAAAAACACAGACAATATTGAAAGCCAGATCTAGCCCCAAATCAGAAGGGAGAGGTTTTAGTTTTGTTTTGTTTTTTCATGGAATACTTTGTCCTCTGTACTCTAGAATTTACTAAACATCATTTTCATTAACCTGGCTTCCTGAATGTGTCCTCTATGCTGGGCACTGTTAGATGCTGGAGATGGAAATGAATAAAATAGTCTGGCACTTACAATCTGTCAAAAGGACAACAAACGCATTGAAATGTTCCCTGGTATATTTTAGGATCGAGCAATCAAACAGGTATCAAGTGTTTATCCTGGGTTTCTTCTTTATTTTACCAAATGCCTACAAAGTATATTTTATTTCCAGGCCTTTGGATATATAAGACATTTCTTTCTTCCAACCCTACCAACTTCCCCTTATCTCCTCCCCTCTACCCATTTTTACTGGTCTCATTGGGTTTTTTGAGGGCTCAGCACTGATCATCGTTTGAGTATCTGTAGATGTTGCATCTTCTGGCAATCTCTTCTCATCCCCAGAGACTGGGCTTGGAGATTCTCGTGCAAGATTTCCGTAAATATTGCATACATCCAATCATAGTCTCTATACCATGGTATTTTATCATTTGTGTATAGGTATTCTCCTAGAAATGTAACTTTCTTGAGAACAGTGAATACGTTTCGTGCACCTGTGCTTCTAGGTGCCCAGCACATGTTGTCATTAGGTGCCGTCGAGTAGGTTCCGACTCTCAGTGGCCCTGTGGACAGTAGAACAGAACACTGCTCGGTTCTGAGCCATCCTCACCACTGTGCTGATGTTTCAGTCCCGTCCCAGCCACTGTGTCAGTCCACCGCATCTAAAGCTTTCCTCTTTGGGGACACTTACAACTCAGCTCATGGCCATCAACTGGATCCTGCCTCAGACCTACCCTATAAGACAGGGTAGAACTGCCCCTGTGAATTTCCAAGATTGAAACTCCACAGGCGTAGGTAGAAACCAGGGAGTGGCTGAAGGTTTCAAACTGTGGCCTTTACAGTTAACAGTCCAATGTATAACCAGGGTTCCTAGTGGATGGTTTATAACTATTTGATGAGTGATGAATGTCCCATAGAACAAACTAGTGTTCAGGTTGGGTGATGTGCAGTGCCACTAATGGTGTTTTATTTGCCTTTAAGCTAAGCCAGAAATCCCGACAATGGTGGGAAATTACTCCGTGGATGGCTTGGAAGAGGTGAGTCATGTGAAAACCTTTGTCAATCAACAGTATCATATGCCAAGGTGTTCTGGGTTGCCTAGGTGCCAGGAATGTTTGTTTTCTCATAGAACCTTACTCTTTGTTCCTTTGCCAGTGAGTCCCACGGATTCTGGAGACCAAATGGGAATCTTTGTTTTAGGACGAGGAACTCTTCAATACGTGAACTGAACTGTGATCCTTAGTCCAAAATTGTGTCGATTTTTTTAATTTCTCCTTAAGAAAGATTGAGGTTGGATGCATGGGAAAAGTAGGGCAGAAAGCAGTGTGAATCCTGACATCAGAATACATTTTTTGGTTTTTGTGACTCAGCAAATTCTTTAATGTATTCTCATCCATTCCCTGTATCAGCTTTCCCCTTGTTTTTATTTTGCAGTGACAAGAGGAAATGTCCCCTCCTTTCAGAACCCTGGCTCCTTATTTAGCAGATAAGAGTAAGGCCTAGGGAAAAGGAACAAACATAAGATCCCCTGATTTCGGGTAATATTAACCCTACACATAAGGACCCCTTGTGGTACACTACCTAAGTGCTGTACCTAGTGTGGTGCCTAGTTGCTCCCCATTTTGAACAGTATAATAGTAGTGTTTGTGCATTATTTTTTGTTAGAATCCCATTAAAAAATGTATACTTTTTTTAGTATACTCAATGGCATATATTAAGTACCCCAAAAAACATTAATTGTTTTCATGTTGTTACTACTATTATCATGTTTTTGATCAACCTTATGATTTCACCCTAACTTTTCAAAATCTTATGTAAAACAAATATCCTCAGCATTTCATTTTTCAAAAAATTTCTATAATATGGCATGAAAAATAATTATCTCCACATTCAACCCCCAAAATATGCAATAAATGATGACCACTGGTTATCCCATAGAATATTAATCATTTAATTTGTCACCTGTCATCACTCAGATTCTGTGGGATGATTGCGGACAGACATGCATTTAAATGCTTGTATCTTTTGTTAATGTGTGTTAGTCTATAATAATTGCTACTGCAGTTGAGTACATGGAAAAATTTTAATATGGATATTAAATAATTACATAAAAATACATCTATTCTGCCACAGTTCATTACTGAACTGTATTTAATACGTTAAGGATAATTTAATGATAGTTATCCCTGGTCGCATTGTGGATTACGTATTGAACTGCTCAGTAGAAGCTGAGCAGGTTGAAGCTCCCAGTTTCTCTGCAGGAGAAAGACTTCACCCCAATATAGATTTAGTCTCAGAAACCCGCAGGGACAGTTCTACCCCATCCTGTAGAATGGCTATAAGTCAGAATTGCCTTTGGTATTTTTGTTTATTAAAAGATTGCCTGCAGGCTCACGATACCAAAGTTTATGAGTATAATCCAGATATACAGAATTTTGAGATTGAATCTAGGGATACAAGTAGTAAAATAAAAAATTTCAAAGACCATTGTTTTACATGGCATCCAATTTTAGTCTTCTGTACCCATGCTGACCTGGTGCTCACTAGAAAGTCAGAGAACCTCCCCATCTAAAGGATCCATGAATAATTTCACCTCAAACCCACATCATCAGCTACAGGACACAACTCATCCATGGGTCTTTTACGAATGTGCCAAACATTAATAGTTCCTCATTTTCATATTAGAATTCCTGCTGTACTTTTTAATAACTCATTAGCTCATTTGTTAAAAAAAAGAAAAACAAACGTGAAAATATACGGAGCAAATTAGTTTCCAGCCAACCATTTATGCATATTTTTCCCCTCACTACATCAACCCTCTTCTCACTTCTTTCCTGGGTCTTCCATTTCCGCTGCCCAGCTTTCCTGCCTCTTCCTGTCTTCTGAACTTGTTTGGGGGCAAACACTCCTCTTTTGGTCGTGTGGGGTTCATTGTTCTGAGGGGCATGGTTCACTTTGAAGGCCTATCAGGTGAAGGGTGTCTAAGGGCCGTAGCCTAGGGATCCCGTTCACTCACTGCTATTGAGGCAAGTCTGACTCGCAGTGAAACTGCCCCAGTGAGTTCCTGAGCCTGTGGCTGTTACAAGACTAGAAAGCCTCCTCTTTCTCCCTAGGAGCAGCTGGCGATTTCAAACTGCTGACCTGGTGGTTAGCAGCCCAATTCATAATCACTATGCCACCCGGGCTCCTTACAGGGTTCCACTAGCCTATCAAACCAGAAAATGCGGTGCTTTTAAATTTTATGATGTATTTTTCTCCCAGGCTCTCCAGAATCTTATATTGTGATCTTGCTCAGAGTGGTCAGTAGCGATAGCTGGGTACCATCTAATTTTTCTGATCTCCAGGTAATAGCAAATTAACTCTTCAAAGCCCGCTACATGCTTTCATCGTGTGATGTGCTCGGTGAGCTTCAGGCATCAGTGGGATATGTGTCATGTTATGGATTTTTTTAATTAGGGCCTACAGATGTTAAACAGCTGAATGGGTCCCATCTAATAAAAGAATGAAGTGAGACAAAAGTTTAAGATGTCTGTATCCAGGCAGGTGGTATAGTGAGAGAATATTGTGGTTCCGGGTTAGATAGACCTAGCCACAAATTCTGATTTGAGGATACTAGCTATACATCCTATTGACCTAGGTAACCACCACAAGCTTCAGCATGCTCATTTTACAACCGAGATAATAATAAATGCTTCATGGAGTTATTAAGAACCTTGCATTGGGGTGAAGAAAGGGGGAATGGATCACAGAGAGCTACATATAACCTCCTCTCTGGGGGACGGGCAGCAGAAGGGTGGGTGAAGGGAGACGCCAGACAGTGTAATATAAGATACAATAATAATTTATAAATTATTAAGGGTGCATGGGGGAGAGGGGAGGAGGAAGGGAAGGGGAGGGGGGAAAAAAAGGAAAATGAGCTGATTCCGGGAACCCAAGAGGCAAGCGAATTTTGGGAATAATGAGGGCAACAAATGTATAGATGTGTTTTATACAATTGATCTATGTATTGTGATGAATTGTATGAGCCCCAATAAATTGATTTTTTAAAAAAAGAACCTTGCATTTAGGTATAGTAATGGAGTACATAGTACAAAATAGTTGTCTCAATACTCTTTCTCCCCAACCCACTCTCTTATCATTCATTCAGGCTCCCTTGCTCGCAGTCTCACCTCTGCATGTACACTTAGAAACTCACCATATGATGGACTCCAAGGGACAGGGAGGGGTGATGAAAGGACAACTGATGGGTTGTCAAATCTGAAAGCGCTAGTTTTGAGTTCTTCTCTGCCACTTACTAACCCTGGGACCTCAAGGACTCAGCTTCCTCCCCAGCAAAAGGGGGAGGATGAGTCCAACCTGACAAGGGTGATAATAAAAGCAATTGAGAGTTGGCATAAAGCGTCTACTATGTGGCACATTCTAATGATTATTTCCTACCTTTTCTTCATCTTAGTGAATTAATTCACTCAACATGCGTAACTTCCATGATTTTTATATACAGTACTACACATGCCCTGCACCAGTAACCCTCGGTGTCAGAACACATGCGGGGGTTGACCAGTTGCAAAGTGTGTCTTCAATTATTGCTGAAATTACAGTCTAGGTCTAACTTAGATGGTGCTGTTTTTTCTCGTACAAAATAGAAAAGACAGCAAATTAGTTTAACAGTGATGTTTCTTGGGCTTAGACGTGCCAGAGGCATCCTGGGAAGTCTCCTAGTTGGGGATGTCTCCTCTTGTGTGTCGATGATAGCAAGACATCCTTTGGCTTCATCATAGCTGGAAGCTTTGCTCCCACCGTTAGCTAGAGGCTGGATCTTTAGCCTAATCCTAAGGGCTACTCTGTGTAGCAGATGTTTGTATTTGAGCAAAACATGCTGGGCCCAAGGGCCTCTCGGTCCACAGGCCCACTCTGATGCTGCAGCAAAAGAAATGAGAGACCCAGTTTGTTCGACAATGCAGGCCTTCCGCAAGCCACAGGACTCTTTCTGTGTCTCTGGTTTATTCTTGAACCACCTTGTCTCCATGGGTCCTGTTCTGGTCTCACTCTACATTTTTTATGTTTGATAAAATTTAGGAAAAAAGGAATCTATAGGAAACTAAAAGCAAACAATAGCAGTTGGCATGAGAATTTCTAAAAAGAAAAAGAGGCTTCCCATAATGAGGACCATGTAGATCAGACACCATACACCTGAAGTATTTACTACCCTTCAATCAGGATAACAGGACAGCTTCAGCAGCTGAGTTTGCAGAATTTGAATTGTGGGGTCCATTGGGTTTGGGCTTGGCAAAGCCTAAAACCCTTGTTGATCCCCATTCCAAATGTATTGATTTCTGTTTGATTTTATTCTGTATTGCAAGTCTGTTTGTCTGTTCGTTTGTTCCCCTAGCAACTCTCAGGCCCCACACGATGATGTCTGCATGCAGACATCCTGTCACATGTGTCCCCACAACCTCAGAGTCCACACTGGTGACCACAAGAGCTTCCTCTGAAGATGGACAAGCTCGAAGAGGGCACGCCCCGCCTGGGGGGAGAGCCCAGTGGAAGCAAAACCTTTGAGATCAGGGAGGTCTCTATTGCTTAAAAAGACTAGGGGACTACAGGTTAGCCGGAGTGTTCCACCAGCCCGGAGCTTGCACGACTGTTTGTTCTACAAACAGAAATGAGGTGATGCCAGGTCTGGGTGGTTGGGCCTGTTGGGTGACTTGGAGCAGCTGTTAAGAAAGGACGACAGAGGAGAGGCCTGAGTGAGGCATACAGAGTGAATAAATACAACAAGATCTTGGTCACTTGGGGAAGATGGTTATTGGCTGCTGTGAAGTCATCCCTGACTCCTAGCAGCTGCAAGGACCATGGTGTCCCCAAGAGGGTTTTCGTTGGCTGCCTGCTGGAAGATTGCCAGGCCTTTCTTGCGTGCCCGACTGAGTGCAGAGGCTTCTCTGAAAGTGTTCAGCATCACAGCCACAAGAAAGACTCCCACAACAGACAAGCGATGGCTGGTAATGCAGCCCCAGGCTCCCTCTGGAAGTGAGCCACTGAGCCACAGCACGCCTCTGGGGAGGTTGACACTCCCCCCACCCTGCCCCATGAAGGACTTGCGCATTCAAGTATCTGAGACAGTGAGATAATCTCTGGCCTTCTCTGTCACTCTCCACTCCCCTGACCCACCTGCACTGTTCAAAAACAATCAACGGCTAGCTTCTGGAGGCGTCCTCCAAAGCAAGAGTCAGCCCCAGCCCAGCGGCCAGAGCAGTTCCCAGTTTGATTTTATTCTGCCCCTGAGTTAATATTTTAAGCCGAACTGTAGCAGCTTAGGAAGTTGTTTTTCTCCCCATGGACCATCAGACTCCTTCTTTGTTGTTGTTTCAAAGCATTGCTGGATGGGGAGGGGTGAAGAGCTTGCAAAAGGAAAGCAGAGAACAGTAGATGGCCGTGCAGCCTACGGCGCAAGTGACTGGCTGCCCCGTCGGCACAGAACTAGAGCAATTGTCCTCATTAAAACGCCTCAGAATCTAAGAAAAGCATCGGCCCTTCATTAGAACCTGCATGGTCTCGGGCTTTTGTTTCCTGTGGTTAAGCTTGTCCCCGGGTACTGTCTCTCTTCTCTTCTCCTTTCTCCCTTCTCTCTTTTTTTTTTTTCACTTTTCTGCCTCTGTCCTTTATTTCTCCTTATTTGCCCTCATCCCTTCAACTTCTCTTGCCTTCTACGTTTCTTTCTCCTCGCACCCTTTAATTTTTCTCTCCTTTCACGGGACCCTGGGTGACAAAACCAGTTACACACTTGGTTGTCAACTGAAAGGTGGTCAGTTCGAACCCACCAAGAGGTACCTACGAAGACACTCTGCTGCCCTGTGTTTGGAAGGCCGGGGCTGTGGGAAACCTGCTTAGTACAGCCCCACTGACACACATGGGGGTGGGTTACCATCAGTCGGGATAGACAGCATGGCACTGGTTACGGACCACTCTGGAATTTGATTCTAGTTTAAATGTTTGTGAATGAACTTGGAATATTCTTGATTTTTCATTTCTGAAAATCAAGTGAGTTAGAAAGTCATTCCTTCCATCTGGACTGATTCCTTATGCATTATTAAGCTTCGGATTGTTGAGAAAGCTCATGCAACTCAGACAGCTTCTCCTGATGACGCCGTTTTAATAGAAGCAGAGGCGGCGACCCTGAAGCCACAGGAGAAAGGTGTGCAGGAGAGGGAGCAAGAGGGCCTCTCGGCTCCCAGGCACGGCTGTGTTAGGACTTCCACAAGCGGGTCTTACAGAATAAACGTTGTCACCAGGTCTCAAATCTCCACCAGGATGCAGGCAGACAGTGTCATCTCAGGAAGCAGAAACTGAGTGCAAGCAGGTCCTTCCTAGTGAGTTGGTCACCCAGCTGCCAGCCAGAAGCCCTGAAACCTTTAACACCACCAAACCCAGTGCAGACCATAAATCCAATGATTGTTGTTAGACAAGGCCAACTGTCTATTCTTCCCAGAAAAAAAAAACAAACTCAACACAGGCATGATGATCAAACGGTATTTGTCTTTGGTCAGTGAGCGCACGGGAAAACAAAGGAGGTTTTCTAATCCGCAAAGAGTTACAGTCTCGGAAACCCACGGGGGCAGCCCTCCCCTAACCGATGGGGGTGCTGCGAGTCAGAAGCCACTTGATGACATCAAGTGTTGAGAGTGCATCCTAAGGCTTTGATCAAGGGTCAGTACAGGTGCGGGAACCCTGACGATAAGTCTGTGGTCATCTCAGACCCACTGAGCTTCCCCAGGCTTTCTGCTCTCTCTCTCTCTCTCTCAGAAACAAAATCTTACTTCATAGATGAGCTGGGACGAAAGTGGCCCTGGACTGTGAGTGAAGGGCAGGGTGTCCAGCGTAGAGTCCCCCAAGCCCAACTTACACGAAATGGAAAGGGTGAGTGGTGGCAGGCAGGTCTTTCTCCCGCTGGTAGACCTCCTCCTCGGCCCTCACCTTCCACTTCATCTCCAGGATGGCCCTTTCCACTTCTTCCACGGCTCGCTCTCTCCTCTCCACCGCCCTCTCCCGCCATTCCACTGCTTTCTCCCTCCGGAGGACCTCTCGTTCCCTTTGGCTGGCCCATAAAGCCAGAGTCCCCACCCGCTCCAGGAGGCTGGCCCAGTCACCCTCGATGCCCATGGGCAGCTGGCACCCGGGAGACCGGGGGTCCTGGCGCTGCCCTGCCTGACCATGGCCGCTCTTCTCCAGCTCCTCTCTGTGCATGCTTTTCAGATGTTTCCAGAGGGCTGTGGTGCCCACGTTAACTCCAGGGCCCCGACTCACCTGCCTGCCACACAGGCGACAGGTGGCATATTGGTTGGGGTGGTGCCCAGCCCGGGCTGGAGCCAAGTGGAAATATTCCCATGCCTCGGAAAAGCGGGCCCCCCGATTATGGGGGACTGGGGTAGGCATGGCACCTGCCAGGGGCCCAACCAGTTCTCCAGGCTCGCTGATCTCCTCCTCCTTCATCATCTCCATATCCCCTTTGGCCTTCACCCTCGTTCCTTCATCTTCGTCCTCTTCCCGCCTCATACTGCCGCCTCTTCTACAGCTTTGCGTGGGGTGGTACCTAGGCTTGAACCAAAGGTCATAGTTGAACCACAAGACACATGTGTATTTGGGAAGGGACGGTGCATTTATAATGAGGGTCAAAAGCTGGCTGCCGTTGGGTGGTGGTTCCTCCTGGCTGTGTCCCCGTAGAGCCAAGCCACAGGTCTAAGAAAAATGCCCTTTGAGACTCCCGTGTCCCTTCCCTCCATGCCCTCAGATACTTACGGATTACTCCTTGGCCAGGCCAGAGAGACACGACCAAAGTGTTCCCGTGGTAAAGGGTTTCCCTGTCCGACAAGTGCGAGGCTCTGGAGTTCACTCAGTGTTCTCCACACCAATGAGCACCGAGAGCAGGTGGAAGATTCTCTCTGGGATATACCTGTAAAGTGCGATGGCACCGCTGGAGGCAGGAGGAACAAGGCCTCGGGACGGGTCCACACTGGGTCTTCTGAGAGTCGATCAAAGCAAGCAGGGGCAGATGAAGATGGAGGAGAGACCCTCACCTTCTCACACCTTGCAACAAGCAGTCAAGAGGCTCTGAAGCTGGCCCAGGTCTGGGTCATGAAGTTCTCAGTGAGGCCAGTCTGTCCCCCGGTTTCTGTAAGGTCGGGAGACTAAAACGTCCAAACAGCAGGCTTAGCTGTCTTCAGCAGGAGGACCTGGTGTGCACAAAGGGGCCCAAGGTGGCGTGATGTTGCCCAGTGATCTGGGTGTGTAGCTCCCAGTCCTGCACTTTTCCTGCAAAGCCAACAGCCAATAAGACCTTCCTGATGAGTTAATTTATGTAATCCCAATGCTGGGCATGATTTACTCTGTTTTAAGGATCAATCGCTACGTGTAAACTTATATGACTTGTTAAAAACCAGAGAGACCCAAAGCAAGTGGAGAGAGCCTGCCCTCTCTTTCCTTCCCCACCCCACCGTCATCCTCAGCGGAGGGTCATTGTGTAAGTGAATGAAAGATGTATTCATCCAACTTGCGCAACTCAAACAGGAGATTCCCTCCTGGCTGCAAGTGGGTACTTACCCCGGAAAGCCAGGCTGTGGACTTGCATCTCCTCTCTCGGTGTGGAGTGAGCGCGTCCTAGTTCTCCAGCTCTTGGCTGACTCCAACCCAGGGGGAGGGCTCCCCTAGATCCTATTTCCTCTCAAGTCTGCCAGAGCTGAGTTTCCAAGTGGGTGTGCCCCTGCCTGTCAGGTTCTCAGTAGCACTCAGCCAAACACATGCCCTTTCTCCACCCACCCCATCCCCCACCAGAAATAAAAAAATAGATGTTCCTGGCAAGCACCTACACGTCTCGATCTGTTTCCCTGTGACGAGATCAGCTGGTCTCTGAAGCACAGAAAGACCTTTAAGGGGTAGGTGAAGCGTGGACACAGAAACCACAAGTCTCCAGGACACCTGTGGCTTCAACTATTTTGTCCCACTAACAGACCAGGAATCTTGGTGCGAGGTGTGAAAGCGATGGTTCCTCTGGAGAGAGTCAGTAGAAAGGTCGATGAACCGAAACCCAAAAGGGACAAGAAGGGCAGAAAAACTCCTGTGAAAACAAAAATCAGAGGAAGCCAAGAGCAGAAATGGAAATGTATTTAATACATGATTTTCAAATTTGAGTCCTATTTTGACTAAGAAATAAGAAAATTGTTCCAAAGACTAAAGGTTAATTCTTATACCCGCCCCCCTTTAATTGACATAGGCATGGAAATGAAGCCAGACCATGTTTGCGTAATCACAGTTTACCCTAAAACACACTTTCCAGTCTGACCTTGGAGTTTCTGTTTGGGAAAATGAACTGACTGCACATCAGTAATTCTTCATAACGTCCCAAGGCCAAAGGCAAACCAGTCTTCACTGAGCTCCGTACAAGGCTATTGTCTGACTCAAAGGTGACTTGTATAAACTCATTTTCCCAAGGCTCAGGTCCCACAGAACTCGGAACTCGCTCCCACACTCAGACATCTGCATTACAGGAGAATCAAACGCCATTCCTGACACCGAAAGCTCAGGGAACTCTCTGAGAAACAGATTTGGGTCTGCTTTTCTATTATTTTATAACACTAGAGTAGGAAACTCTAGAATGCTGTTGCCTTCTACTTTCTGCTACTGTAACATAAAGAAAACATTATAATGTAAGCAAAAAATTTTTTTAATATGCACATGCACACCCACCCACGTAAACAAAATATAAGTTCAGGAAGAATAACACCCACAACGAGACAGACTGTTTTTAAAAATCATTTTATTGGGGGCTCCTACAACTCTTATCATAATCCATACATTCATCCATTGTGTCAAGCATATTTGTACATATGTTGCCATTATCGGTTTCAAAGCGTTTTCTTTCTACTTGAGCCCTTGGTATCAGCTCCTCATGTTTCCCCTCCCTCCCTCCCTCCCTCATGAACCTGTTTGGACCTGGTCTGGACCAGGCAGCCCCTTGCACCAGCTTCTCAAGAAGACAAACAACCTGCTGAACGTTGTCACCTCTGCCTCCTGCATCTCACAGAGCTTATCTCCCCGGGCAGGGCTCACACAGCCCCCCTCTCTCTAGCATTCCAGGAAGCAAGTTTGCAAAAAACAAGATGATTTGCCAACAGGTCATCTCCAGACCCAAAACTTGCAACCCCTGCCGAAAACTGCTAAGACATCACAAGAAACCTCCCTTCCCCTTATCAGCCCATATGCCTTTGGCTCATACCCTGTACATCTCCTGCTGCCCCAGTACCGGGCACGACTTCGCTGACCTAAACTCGTTGGGTCGGGAACCTGCCCCGGGGCTCAAGATGCCCCCATCCCTTTCTATCTCTCCCCTCTCTCCTGGAAGTTCTTTTCCCTCAATAAAATCTTTTTCTTTCACTTCTCATTTTTGTCTGAACCCTGTCTCTGTCCTGTGGCTCTGTCTCAACCTCTTACAACCCTTGATAATTTATAAATTATTATTATTTTTTCATGTCTTGCACTCCCCAATATATCCCTTTACCCTCTTGTCTGTTGTCCATTCCCCTGGGAGGGGATTATAGGTAGGTCATGGTGATCGGTTCCCCTTTTCTCCCCCCACCTTCCCCTACTCTCAATATTGGTCCCGAGGAGTTTATCTGCCCTATATTCCCTGTGTTTTCAGTTCTTGTACCCATGCACATGCTCTGGTCTGGCCAGATTTGTGAGGTAGAATTAGGGTCATGATAGTGGGTGGGGAGGAAGCATTAAGGAACCAGAGGAAAGCTGTATGTTTCATTTGGTGCTATACTGCACCCTGACTGGCCTGTCTTCTCCCCAGGACCCTTCTGTAAGGGGATGTCCAATTGCTTACAGATTGGCTTTGGGCCTCCACTCCACACTCCCCCACCCCTCATTCACATTATGATTTTTTTGCTCTGGGTCTTTGATGCCTGAGACAGACATTTTAAAGAAAGTGTCTGTGAAACAACTTTGATTTTATAACAGAGAAATGGCAGAGCGGGACTCGTAAAAACTGAGAGGCTGCATCTCAAATGGAAAAGAAAAAAATATATATCAAAACGCGGATGGAAAGAAGAAGGAAAGAATCCAATTAGCGAGCAACCAAGTGTTTGCAAACAAAGAGGAACACTTAAAAATAAAACGTTTTGTTTCTTTTTTCCTAGACTAAAATCCTATGTACAAAATAATTCCGTGAAAAACCCTCTGATAGAGTTACTGCCTGATCAACAAGTTACATACACATTAAGCGATATCATTTGGAAAATACTGTTTGTAGAAATTAAAATTTCTTTTTTTCTGAACTCAGCAAGGTCATCATCTTCTGATGCTGCATTGACTTCCTCCTGCTACCAGGGCAACAGATCCAACTGACTCGTGGGCTTCTGGGTGCTCCCTGATCCAACTTTGTGAATTTCTCTCTGCTTCCCCAAATAGGCTACCTGTAGAATCCAGGCTCCCCTCTTTCCTGTGTCCCAAACATGGCTTTGTTTTCTAAATTATCCCTGGTTTTCTTCCTGCTCCATAGCCCTACAGAACCCTCCAAGTGGGTTTCTTTTCTGGTGATTCCTGCATATGTCTTTGAACGATTTCTCACATATTTCACATTTACTTAGAATCACCTTAGAGAAACCAATGACTTGATCAGTCTCTCAGAAACAACAGCTTAACAAGGGGTGGGAAAATGACTGCCTTTACAGCAGTCAACCTCATGGGTGTGTGCATATGCTCTGGTGTATATTTACCTCTGCACATTCTTTTCACAGTTAGCACGTGTTCTTTCTCACTCACTTGGGTCAAGTGGAAGGCATTTCCCAAGTGCAATTCCAACTCTTTGCTCAGGAAAACCATTTATGCTTGATGTTTCATAAGACCTTTGATCCTGAGTTAATTAAGTTTGGTCTGTGGCTTTCCGATTTTAAAGAGACTGGGAGGAGTTTAGGACTGAAACCATATTCCCAAACCAAATCTTCAAAAACAGATTCTGGATATAACATGAGATGTTTTAAATATGAATTATTCTAAATATTGTAATGTAGCAACTTGCTTTCAGATTTGACTTTTCAACTTTTTAGCAGTTGATCCGACATAAGTTACATAAAGTAATGTAACTCCACATGTTCCTGATTATTACCAGATCATCATCATTTTGGTAGATCATCTAAATATAAATAGTTAAAAGCATTGAATTCAAGACAAACCTTTGCAACTTAAAAAAAAAACCACCAACATTTATTCTTCTATATCTCTTTTCTCACTTCAGAGATCACCTAGAGATAAACTTCACTCTTGTGCATTTTGCTGGATTAAATGAACTGACTTCTCTCTTTAATAAGAGGGTGTCTTATGCAAGTGGGTATTTATCTTTTTCTAGAACAAAGAGAGGTACAGTTTCATGGGTCTTGATTCCCACCATATGCACGTACCTGAAAAACCAAGTGTGGGTTAAGTGGAAATACTGAGAGAAGTGCATTTTCAGTCCCTTCTGAAAATCTCGTTCCTTCTTTGGACGTCTTGTGGTTATTTATCCTGAGGAATGTTCAGCTGTCCTTCAGTATGATATGATTTTACCAGAAAAGTGTTACTTAGTATCCTTGAGTCGGGCTGCTCAGATCTGTAGGTTCAGACACTGGGAGTAATTAGAATTTGGGGAAATTGGCACACCCAGCTTCACAAACTGGTTAACTAAAATATTCATCAAGTTCAAGGAATGGGCAGACACAGCCAGTTTCTATACAAGTTAATTAGTATATTCATCAATTGTGGAGAATATACATGAACTAAGAACTAGGACTGGTTATATGTAAAATATACTATCTCTTGATAAGAAAATAAGTAAGTCTAATAAAATGATTTAAAAATTAAAAAAAAGAAAATAAGTAAGTAACTATACATGAGACTCTAATTTTTCAGGGAATCAGGTAAAATCAGGGGAATGAAATAGTCCTATTAGCTACTTTTATCAGGTTGTTAAGTATTACTATTTCTTAATGAACAAAATATTTTTAATGTTAGAAATAAAGCATAACTAGCCCTAAATCTAAGCTTATTTTTTATAATCACCCGTTACTATACTTCTTTCTTTTTTCATTATAAAGTATTGTAGCAGGAACATAGCAGTGAACATAGTTTCCAACTGTGCCATTAGGTTGAGTTTGCAGGTGGCACAGTGTATTATGAACCCTGGTGGTGTGGTGTATCACAAACCCTGGTGGTGTGGTATATTACAAACCCTGGTGGTGTGGTGTATTACAAACCCTGGTGGTGTGGTGTATTACAAACCCTGGTGTGTGATTTCTAACTGGAATGGCAGCAATGGGAAACCACAGCAGCTCCTCAGGAGAGCAACAGGGCTTTCTACTCCAATAAAAATTTGCAGTCACAGAAACTCACAGGGCAGTTCTACCCTGCCCTATCGGGTTGCTGTGAGTTGGCACTGATTGGGTGGTAGCGTGTTTTGTTTTGTTTGTTTTGTTTTGAGGATGCCAAACTATCGTTGGTATAAACCAAGGAGCAAAGAATTCTTCAGATAAGGATTAGAAAAATAGAAACATCTCCTGCAAATATGTATAGTTCTAAATAATGGATGTTTTGAGAAATCATAGGTTTACATTTTAGTGTTTTGGTTTAATAAAAGTTTGATGGTTTTATAACTGTGTGTCTGTGTGTGTGATTTAAGTGAAGGTGTACAGAGCAGGTTATGAATTTTACATTGAACCATTTATACGTTTTGTTTCAACTCATCCACGGCAATCCCTTCAATGTGCCGCTGCCTATTCTACTTCCGTCCCGTGTTTTCTGTTTCTCTTCCTCCTCTTTTCCTAATCCTCTGTCCTTGGGGAAAGGCCACCCTTTTGAACTCAAATGGTTCTTGATTCTAACACAGGGGTGAATTTAGTTTCAGACTTGAAGGGTGACCAAAGGCCATCGTCTTCGGGGGACTCCATCTCTCTCTCTGACTAATAAGACTGCTCTCTTTGATGATGGGGAGCTCTATGCCACAGCTTTTTTCCATTCGATCTCGAATTTTCTAATGTGATCCTTTCAGAGCAGTTGGTCATGGTAATCTGATTCTCCTTGTCTCAAGGTTGTGAAGCCTGAAGTTTGCATGGTCGACTGGACTAATGTCTTCAAATTGGTCCCTCTTCTTTTCTCCGGATGACCAGAAACCAATGATTGCTTCTTAGATGGCTGCTCAGGAGCTTTTAAGACTCAGTCACTACACCCCCAAATAGGATGTCAAACATTGGCTTTGTGAACTATGATAAGTCAATTGACTTTGGTGCTCCCACCCCCGCCCCCCCTGAAGACTGTTCTGAGCCACCAGCTCCATCAGCTCCATTCCTCAGAGTGTTTAGTTATGATTAAGAAGTTTTTGTCACTTGTAGCAATATTTTTTTACTTACCCTTGTATATCCAACCAAAAGTGAAATTTTAAAAAATCACTTGTTGCTAATTACTTAGTTCATATAAATATGTAAATAGAACCATGAATATGTTGATGTAAAGAGCAAGTTTCTTCTTAATTTTCACACAAACCTCTTTGTGTTCTCTTTGCCCAGAGCACCTTTACCTGTGTTCTGAGGAACGTATTTCCCACCGCAAATCTCACCTGGTTTGTACATGGAGGATTTCTCCAAGGTGAAAAAGAAGGTAAGGCTGTTTATCCAAGGGAGTGGGTCTGGCAAAGAGAGAAAACAAAGACTAAAAAACAAACTAGAAGTCATCATTGCCCAAGTTGATCTTGGCGTGAAAGAATCATTCTCATTCCAAGAAAAACATTGTAGTATCCATCAAATGCCAGTTTCTAAAAGCACATCTGGCTCCTCCGAGGGGACCGGATGCAGCCTTTCCAAGAATGCAAAAATCACAGTTGCCTTTGTCAAACCACATGCAAACACTGATGTCTTCACACAGCAAAAGCAGATCCCGTGAGAAGGCAAGCCGTTTAATTCAATGCACATTTATGAATCATTGCATTTAGTTCATTAATACCACTGCCTTACATCAGTACATGAATCATTTCCACCTTTCTTTATGAGACTTTCAGTGGGAGACCAAAAAACAAGCAAGAAACTAAAAGTAGATGTAAAGGACTTGGCGCCACACCAAGGAACAAGTTCACCGGGAGGATTAAAAGTTCCTGGAGCAAGAACGAACTTTGAGACAAGCTCAGGTGATAAGACACAAAGCCATGTTTTCCATGGGAGATGACTGGGGCATACTCGCTCTGACAGACTCTTCCTGTCTATTTCTCTCACCTCACTCTTCCCCTTCCTAGCCCCGGGTCGGCCATAGGCCTTCCCTTTTCTCCTGCGTTATTTTCCTCACACAGCGACTGGGTCACCTAACTCTTGTTGCATCATTATTTTCATCAGTAAGATTAAGAGTTCGCATTGATGAGTTACTGCATGTATCACTTGCTTTGTGAGACTATAGCTGTTTGCATTAGTTCAATTGCAAAGAAAGTTCACTCACAACAATGGTATCAGTGGGCTTGACAGGATTCAGTGTTGAAAATTCCTGAATACTCCGCCCAGCCCCCCATCATGATCCCAATTCTACCTTACAAATCTGGCTAGACCAGAGGATGTGCACTGGTACAGGTAGGAACTGGAAACACAGGGAATCCAGGACAGATGACCCCTTCAGGACCAGTGCTGAGAGTGGCGATACTGGGAGGGTAGAGGGAGAGTGGGTAGGAAAGAGGGAACCGAATACAAGAAACTATATGTGACCTCCTCCCTGGGGGATGAACACAGAAAAGTGGGTTAAGGGAGACATCAGACAGTGTAAGATATGACAAAATGATAATTTATAAATTATCAAGGGTTCATGAGGGAGGGGGTGAAATGAAGGGAAGGGAAAATTGAGGAGCTGATACTAAGGGCTCAAGTAGAAAGCAAATGTTTTGAGAATGATGAGAGCAGCAAATATACAAATGTGCTTGACATACAGTGGATGCATGTATGGATTGTGATGAGTTGTATGAGTCCCCAATAAAATGATTTTTTTAATGCTATAAAAGACAGGGCGGGAAAGGTACCAAAACAAAACAAAAATAAACCCGCTGCCTTCAGGGCGATTCTGACTCTCGGTGATCCTGTATGGAGAGTTCTTGAGGTGGTAAGTCTTCAAGGGAACAGAAAACCTCACCTTTCCCCCCAGGCGCATCAGGCTTGCTTACCCAGCAGTACCGATGCCTCCAGGACTTGTTCAAGGTACAAGGGGCTTCAAAGGATTCATGGGAACTTTGAGATTTTGTTTTGACAAGAGTGCCCATTTTGAAGCTCCCTCATGATTAAAAACAGGCTCTCCTTTTAAATAAGCCTTGATCTAATAATAATAAAGCACACTGTCTTCCCAGCCCTAAGGCAAAGCTGGCAAGTTTGAGTTACCCCATTATACTCCCACCTTTGAGATATCCTATGACACTCCCAGTCCTGAGGCAGACCACGTGCTCCAAATTCCATCCGTGTATAACTGCATTTGCTTATTCCTTACTGAGGGACCTAGATGTAAGGACCCTTAATGAATCTGTGAGCTGGGCTACAGTGATCATTTTACATGAACTTCTTGCTATCTTATCTGCTACTTGGAAGCTGAACTAACAATGGCAGTTTTAAGGGGCTCTGCTGCTGAAGAACCGAAAATGGTGTTTCCTATAAATCAGTGTACAGCTTCTCTCAGGGAAAAGTGATACAATACCCCATGACGCATGTAGAACACTTACAGCCACCCTTACAGGGACCTCTTGTCCGGGCTGAGCCAGATGCACTTCCTCTAAGATTAAGAACCTACTGCGGCCGAGACGATCTAAGAATATCCAAGGGAGTCCAAAACGGGGTCCTAGCTGAAGTTGTTCTCTCTTCCTAGTGGTCTGCCGCATAGCCAGATTCAATGACAGCCTCCTGGAGACCAGGTGCAAATCATCAATGCCCGTGATGCACACTAAGCAATGCTGTCAAGCTGGGCAGTCTGCCCCAACCCCCTTGTGCCCCCGGTCACAAAGTGCACTATTCTTATGTCTCAGACTTTGACAAAGCATCAGTACTATCTAGGACCTTGAATAAAACAGCTCCCATTAATTCTGGACTTAGTGGAATTAACCCTTACTGCAATTTGATCACGTGAGACTCCACATGACCACACCTTCAAATGTTTCTGGCCATGATTTGGCATCATCGTACGATTGATTCTGGTTTACACAGAAAAGGTTGACGACTTAACCATGTCCTGTTCTGTCTTTTAGAAATATGCATCACTAATGAAGCGAGAAAAGGCAAAGGTGGATGTTCAGAACTGAAGTCGGTTTTAACAAGGGCACACATTAATGAATCAGCCCAATCGAACAACGTGACCATCTGGTGTGCGGCTCTGTTTCCGGTTCCGGGGAATAAAGTGCGGAGTATCTCCTCTGAAAAGATCTCGTTTTCCTTCGGTGAGTTGTCAATGAAGTCAACAGGGTTAGTCAAGATAATCCCAAGGTCAGAGCTGATATAATATTTATTGCTTCCATAATATTTTAATCTTTCGAGTCTATTTAATTCACAGTTGTTAGAATTCATGGCAGCAAATATTTCTGACAAATTCGAATGAAAAGAATTCCTTCAAATAAGGATTAGCTGATTCTTGTATTCCTATGAGGACTTTCTGTTAAGTATTTTGAAAATTAATTTACTGTTAATTGTAACTTAATAAATTGACACTTTTATCAGTCTACGTAATGAAAAATAAAACTTTTACTGAGGATTAAGAGACCATTAAAATCCTAAAACTCCTTGTGGCCACTGAAAATATCTGACTATGTATACCACATTTATTTATTTATTTATTTATTTATTTATTTATTTATTTATTTATTTTCCCTAACCCTTAACTCTTAATCCTTAACACAAGTGTTATCACTGAACCCCTAACCCTAACCAGAACCCTAACCCTATTCTTATCCCTAACCCTATCCTTATTCCTAACCCACCTTTAACTCTTAATCCTTAACACAGTTTGAGTCTGCCAAGAGTTACCATGAAAGAAAAGTCTGACAATATATTTCCAAATAATCAACCATTGAAAATTCTATAGCATACCGTTTTAATTCAGTATGCACGAGATCTCTATGAATTGGGACTTATACCACAACAACTGATTTCATTTTATTTTTGATGCCACTACATTTGTTGAATCATTTGTCTATCTTTTGCCCGGAAAAATAGCCATTATCTAATTATATTCAAGGTGGTCCGTGTTTTAGTTCATTAATTGACCTAATAAACATCACTCTTTGCCATGGAGCCCTTACTGACTCTCAAATGCTATCGGGCAGGGTGAAACTGCCCCATGTGAGTTTCAGAGATGGAAACACTTTTTTTTTTTTAATCATTTTACTGGGGGCTCGTACAACTCATCATAATCTATACATCCATCCATTGTGTCAAGCACATTTGTACATTGGTTAGAGATGGAAACTCTTGACAGGAGTAGAAAGACGCCCCCCCCCCCCAAGCGGCTGGTGGTTTTGAACTGTGAAGCTTGAAAATAGCAGCCTACTGTGTAATCACTGTGTCACCAGGGCCCCTCTAATAAGCATAATACTTCGAAATATCAATTTCCAGTTAAAAGTGTTCTATGTATCAGGTACTGTGTCTTATATCAGTGACACTAAAATTATTAAGGAACAGTCTTTAACTTCAAGGTATAGATACCATACACAGATTAACCCTCTATAAAATAAACGTGATTAAAGTATTAAAACTAACAAAATAAATAAAGATGAAACCATGAAACACCTCATAAAATGAATGGATCTGGAGAATATTATGTTGAATGAAATTAGCCAATCACAAAAGGGCAAATATAATATGAGACCACAGTTATAAGGGGGAGAAGGGGATCTCAAGGGTTCAGGAGGGAGGGGGGAGGGAAGCGGGTAGGGGAAAATGAGCAAATTATATTGAGGGCTAAAGTAGAGGGCAAATGTTTTGAGACTGATGAGGGCAACAGGTGAACATAGGTGCTTGACTCAATGGATGTATGTATGGACTGTGATAAGAAATGTACGAGCCCTCAATAAAAGAATTTTTTTAAAAGAATAATGAGGGTAACAAATGTACAAATGTGCTTTCTACAATTGATGTATGTTTGGATTGTGATGAGTTGTATGAGCCCCCAATTAAAAAACAAACATCTAAAACATTTTTTTTTAAAGATAAACAGTTTCATATCAAAGGAAATTGCCAAGGGAGGAGGTCAAGGAAGGGAAGATTAAAGCAATGCGTTCAACTGTTGTCAAGTGTTAGCTTGGGTGACATGGAAGAAGACAAGAGGAAAAAGAGAAATCTAGGATGGAGTGAAGGGTAAACTATAGGATGAGGTTTGGTTTTATTGGGAGTTTAAACTGCTGAATACTAGACATATTATAGTTACATTTTATGGGGCAGCTCTGATCTAGTATATTTTTAGGTTCTGAGAGGGTGGTTAATTTTAAATTACCCAATGAGCTTTTATCCTTCATGATCAAATATTAAAGACAATAAATGCTGAACTGTGCTAGCTCCTAAAAGTATAGCTTTCCATCTGGGAGCACGTTTTGACATCTATCTCTGTGAATGACTTAGGAAATACAGGCAGCTCATTAAAGCGGGGTCTTCATTGTACGATGTATCCTAACTTGTTATGGCTTCTTAAACTTTCACTTCCAAATAAGCATTCTGCTTGCTGTATGCTTTATCAACTCAGGGGTCAATTTCTGTCCAAGACTCATTGTACAAAAGTCATCGTCTCATCGAGTTTTTACTGAGGACAGATTATTGGAGATAAAAACACAAAAGAAAAATCTGTCATCTCTGAGTGTTAATGTTGAGAACTTCTGAGACTATTCCTCAACAGGAAGGCAATTTCAGGAGGGAAGGAAGGAATTTTTGTTCTCCTTTGTGCCCACAGAAGGGTAATCAAGTTGGAAGCTACAAGATAACAGTGCTCTCAGGTGACTCCATCCCCACTCATCCAGGAAATTCAAGAGTTCACTGGAGGTTCTTCTTCTACAGAATATGGAGCGAGAAAGACTGGGGTGAGCTGACCAGTGGTCCATCAGCAGCACTGGGCCCGCGGAATTCTTAGGAGGCAACAGTATCTAAGACATAGTGCTTTCCAAAAATGTCCTGCCATACTAGCCTAAAACTGAAACACTGCAGGATCATTTTTGGTATTTTCAAAGACTTTCTTGTTTGTCTTTTGAGGTAGAGATGATAATCTGTGTTATTTTAATCCAGCGGTAGTCCTCCTGGGGTGGGCAGTATCCTGGATGCTATCAGCTTTGACAGAGATTTGCTTAGTAAGGGGATTTCCAACCAGAGATCTGGAGGCCTTTGGGAGAGAGAGACAGGAGTTAAAGATTTGAGGCATTTGCAGATGTGAGTAAGTGTGCGTGTTTGGGTGGTAGGGAGAAGAGTATAAAGGGCTATTTCAAATAGTAAGAAAAGAGAACAAGGAATATTGAAGTAGGTATTGTCAGATAAACATCTATTATTTCATGCTTTAACTCATCTAGCCAGCCTAATTGTCAGCCTTCCCTTGGTAACCACTAAAAACCTTTGGTTACAAATAAACACTTGCCTAGCCTAGACACTTCCTATAAAGGGGGCCATGCAATATTTTTCTTCTGTGTCTTGCTTATTTAACTTAGCATCTGCTGTTGAGACCTCTTTAAAGTGTTAAAAAAAAGAGAGGAGTTACTTTGAGGACTAAGTTACATCTTATCCAAGCCATGGTATTTTCAAGCACCTCCTATGCATGTGAAAGTTGGACTGTAAATAATGAAGATTGAAGAAGAATCAATACATTTGAATTATGGTGCTAGTAAAGAATATTGAAAGTACCATGGACTGGCAAAAGAACAAACAGATCTGTTTGAGAAAAAGCACATCCAAGATGAACTTAGAGGCACGGATGGCCACATTTCATCTCCCGTGCTTGGACATGTTATCAGGAGAGACCCGTGCCTGGAGACAGTAGAGGGGCAGCAGAAAAGAGGCAGGCCCTTAAAAAGATGGAACGACATGGTGGCAGTAACAATGGGCTCAAACATAGGGAAAATTAGGAGAATGGCCAAGGACCAAGCAGTGTTTTGTTCTGTTGTGCATGGGATCGATATGAATCAGAACCAACTAGATGACAACTGAGGTCGTTAGTTTATTGTGCCAACCTGGCCGATAAACACATGTGGGGTTAATTGAAGGGTGGAGGGATAAATGGCTCAGTGAACCTCACCTTTCTAGTTCTTGGGTCTCTTGCTTTCTGATGGTCAGTCCAGGATGCAGCTGCCTTAGCCAGTTCCCTCCTTCAGCTGGCAAGGCTCACTTCCTGCAAGACATTCCCAAGGAGAAGCCACATGGACCTACCCCGATGCAGCCCTGGGTGCTAGAGCAGCCATGTGGAGACCCCTGCCAGTGCTGAGATGCTTACACATTCACTGGCTCGCTTTCCTCCTGCAGTCGGCATCCTTGTGTCTGTTTTGTGGGATGGAGGAGGACTTTGTGGACTGGTGTTGGACATATGGGTTAATGGGTTAATGTTGGATTTGTGGGCTTAGGCAGCACTGGGTTGGGATATTTTCTGATGTGCACTTTGTTTTGACCAAGGTCGTTTCTGGTTCATAGTCCGACTTGAAAGCGGACAGGTTTTTTGCACTTCAGGTTTCATGTGGAAAGCCAGGCAGCATCTTGGTCATGGGGCAAAGATTTCATCCAGAATGAACACCTTGTGGTAACAACTCCCGAACACACCACGAGGTGCTGTGTATCAAAAACGCCGCAGCTTACAAAGACAGTTGGGCATTGGGCAGTGTAGGATATGATAAAATAATAATTTATAAATTATCAAGGGTTCACGAGGGAGAGGGGAGCAGGGAGGGAGGGAGAAAAAGAAAAAGAAAAATGAGGAGCTGATTCCAGGAGCCCAAGCAGAAAGAGAGTGTTTTGAGAATGATGAGGGCAACAAATGTATAAGTGTGCGTTACACAATTGACATATGGATGGATTGTGATAAGAGTTGGATGAGCCCCAATAAAATGATTTTTAAAAAATAAAATAAAGACATTTGGGAATGAAATATGGTAGAATAAACCCTAAAAGAAATATTCTATAAATCATGGGTTCCCAAACTTATTTGACCTACCACTCCCTTTCCAGGGAAAAAACAAAAACAACAACAACAAAAACACTTATTTAGAACCCCCTGGCAATTAAAAACTTTTGTACAATATCCTATAACCCAGGGTAAAGTGCAGGTATCTGTTTTTTACTACCTCCTGGGTTATCCCAGTACCACCACCACCCGCACCCCAGGGAACTGCATCACTCGCTTTGGGAAATGCTGCATGAAAAATAAATGTTTCTGAATTTGAAAATCTGAGATTGAATAAAAGTATCAACATCTTCAATAGCC